ATCTTTAATTAATTAATAAAGAAATAAATAAATTTAAAAAAAAAGAATGTCCTTCTGGGGGCTGGAGAGATGGTTCAGAGGTTAAGAGCATTGGCTGCTCTTCCAGAGTTTCTGAGTTCAATTCCCAGCACCCACATGGTGGCTCACAACCATCTGTATGAGATCTGGCGCCCTCTTCTGATGTGCAGGCACACAGAACACTGTATACATAGTAAATAAATAAATCTTAAAAAAAAAATAGAATGTCCTTCTGGCTTCAGACACACCACCTCCACTAGCCACACTGATCCTGCGAGAAGCTCTCTGAGGTTGTCCACAGGTAGCTGGGTGACATGGCAACAACCATCAGGGAAAGACCAGCAGCAGTGAGTTAGCACAGGCGAGTCCCACTGTTGTCTTTACGGTCTTGTTTGTAATGGGAGTAGGACAAGAACCAGAGACTGACTGGTCCCTCGCTCAATAGGGTCAGAAGCAGCGGCAGCGAAGAAGCTCCCCAACATTCACGTGCTTCCTCACACAGGTGTGGTGGGCGCCTGCACTGTCTCTGTGGTGCAGCCTCGTTACCTCGAGGTGGACTACACTTCTGAGACTGTCACCTTGGAGTGTACCTTTTCCACAACTGGATGCTCTTCAAAGCAACCAAGAAGCCTGTGGTTTCGCTGTGGCGCTCATCAGCCTGAGGCTCTGTGCTTGGATGGATGCAGGAATAAGGCAGACAAGTTCACAGTGGAAGAAACCCTGGACCAGAACCGAGTCTCCCTCACTGTCAACAGGGTGTCTCCAAATGACAGCGCAATTTACATCTGTGGAATAGCATTTCCCCATGAGCCAGCACCGAGAGCTAAACAAACTGGAGGCGGGACTACACTGGTGGTAAGAGGTCAGTCCACAGGGCTGCGGCACACTTGCTAACATGTCAGCTCCAAAACTGTGTAAAGCCTTCTGATTTTTTTTTGGTTATTGTTCATTTTTCTTTCTTTCTTTCTTTTTCTTTCTTTTTTTTTTTTTTTAACCAACTCTTTAAAAGAAATCAAGCATTGCTACAGTGTTCTAGGCTGGCTTTGAACTCTTGGCTGAAATACTCCTATTGCCTCAGCTTCCCAAGGAGCTTGCATTGCAGGCATGTGCTACCAGACTGTTTGCTACCAGTCTTTTTCTCAGACTGCTCAAGGGACTGGCTTGGTGAAGGTACTGCTGGTGTTTATGTAGGTTTGATGTCCTCGTGTGAGTGGGGGATTGTCAGGGATCTTTTCAGGAAGCCACAGTCATCAGTTTTTCTTCTTTGATATTCCGGCAGAATGACAAAGGCCAAGGATCTACTGGCGGCTTCTCTCCAAATTAATGTTTAATCCTCTTTATTTCTGAGTCCAATTTTTGGTCACTTCTGCTTCTCTTACAGGGTGGTATTCTAACTGGTGCAATACTAAACCAGTTTCTGAGAAAGTTGGTAAGACACATAGGCCTCCCCGTGTTACACCTAGACACTGCACACACACAGGACCCCCCCATGTTACACCTAGACACTGCACACACACAGGACCCCCCCATGTTACACCTAGACACTGCACACACGCAGGACCCCCCCCCGTGTTACACCTAGACACTCCACACACAGAGACCCCCCTGTTTCACCCAGACACTGCACACACAGAGACCTCCATGTTACACCGAGACACTGCACACACACAGGACCCCCCCATGTTACACCTAGACACTGCACACACACACAGGACCCCCCCATGTTACACCTAGACACTGCACACACACAGGGACCCCCCATGTTACACCTAGACACTGCACACACGCAGGACCCCCCCTCCCCCCCGTGTTACACCTCGACACTGCAGCAGAAGGACAAAGAGTAGCTGCTCATCAGTGAAGTCTGGGGATGGAAAGAGAACTGAGAAGGGCCTCCATTGTCTCTGTTTCTGTGGATAGCAGATGGGAGTCAGTCAGGAAGGTTCTAGAAACTATCAGCTTGGGTCAAGATATTATATTTCCAGATTTCTAACATAATTTGTGCTTATGAGATAAAGGTTTAAAGATCTGAGCAAAATGTTATGACAATTTACAAAGAAAAAGTGCATTGTACAAACTGAGTCAATGGGGCAGGACCTATGGGATATTTAGCTGGAACTATAGGTTAGTGGGAAATAATTTTGTATCTAGTTGTATTTCATGTTTCATATAGTCAGTACAGAAAGACACAGTTACTTAATCCCCTCTTTGAACACAGGACACTTCCTGCCCAAAAGGAAAATTCAGACTGTGAAAAAGCATTCAGTATTAGTCCGTGGAGGGCTTCACTAGGGGACACACATGCCACAAATGCCTTGAAAGCAAGCGGCTGGCTCTTAGCTCCTCAGGGCTCCGCCTCCTCCAGTTTTTACCAGATAGCTCAGGTCAGCTTCAAACAGCTGCACCAACAAATACCAAGAAAATACCTGCACTGAAGCAACAGGCTTGGTGACACCTGTTGATCACTTCTAACAAAAAGAAAATTTCAATGTCCATGTATTTAAGGAGTAAAAAGTAATTCTTGGGCTGGCTGTAGTGCGGTGGTTCAAGGCCTAAGCATGTTGAGGCAGTCAGTTCAATCAACAGTAGAAGGGAGGAAAAAAAAATCAAAAACCAAAAAGATAATTCTTAGCCCTACCACAGATGTTCAACTCAATTTATCTGTTTGGGACAAAGTCTCACTATGTAGCCCTGGCTGTCGTAGAACCTACTATGTAGAGCAGACTGGTTCCAAACTCAGAGTCCATCTGCTTCTGTCTTGCAAGTGCTGGCATTAAAAGTATGAGCCACCATGACTGGCTCTTCAATTTAATTTTTAATGTTCTTATTGTATGAAGAAGCCTATCTGTTTTAACACATTTCAAGGCCACGACTTAGCCCATTCTTCAAGGGGCCCCAGGCAGACATTGCTGGGATGGTGAGCACAGCAAGTTCAGGCTCCACCTCTAAATGAGGTAAGTGAAACTTCATCGATGCCTGCCAGCTCGTGCTTCAACAGTGCCTCTTCTTTCTGTCTCCACCACCATGAAGAAGGACTTCTCAGCAGGGAGGTGCACAGTCTCCTGATAGTGATCATAGCACTGTTCTCCGTCTACATCGCCGGGGTGTGTGTCATCTTCACAGTCCTCTTCAGAGTAAGTCCAATGTTCTCACCTTGAATGCTATCACACAAGTTATTTTCATCTGTCCGCCTCAGAAACACTTGGCCCAGCAAACACCTGGTTCACATCTTCAAGGGCCTCCACTTGGGAGGAGTCTGCAGTCACTTGAGCCTTCACAACTGAGACTGCTTGCTAGTCAGAGTTCACAACTAGGGGACTCAGTACCTGTGATGGCTCTCTCTACTCCAAAAGTGAGGGGTGGAGAGGGAGAAGCTACTTTCATCTAGGAAAACCAGAAGAACAAATTTTAAGAGCAGAAACAGTTAATGAAGATATTGGAAGTTGCCTTAAAATATTCCAGACCTAGGGGCTAGAGAGATGGCCCAGGGGCTAAGAACACTGGCTGTTCTTCCAGAGGACCGGGTTCAATTCCCAGCACCACATGGCAGCTCAGAACTGTCTGTAAATCCAGTTCCATGGGATCCAACACCCATGCAGGTAAAATACTAATGAACAGAAAAATAAATTAAAAAATTCAAGTCCTAAATGTACCAAAAAGGACTATCTTTGATGTGTACATGTTCAAAAATGGGAGTATAAATATCTATTAGAATTCTTTCATATGCTGTAATAGATTCATTTAAGTCATTACTTCATTTATTAATTAAACAAAAGCATCAAAAATGTTATGAAAATTATCTAGTGTGTCATTCAAACACTGAATTAGCTCAGTTCTCTTTCAGCATAAAATATCACAAAATGTTCACAGATTTTCTTATTCTTCACAGTCAAAATCTAACAGTTCAAGAAGCAGAGAAACCAAAGAAGACTCACAAAAGGTATTGCTAGTACTTGTATTTCAACACAGTGGCAGGTGGGAACCAGTTCAAATGAGAGCTGTGCTAGGAAGCCCTGAGAACACAGTAACTTCTACCCTAGAGGCTTCTGATCCCTGTTAGGAATCTTCTGCAGTCATCTGGGGAGGAAGTTGTCAATAGATCTCAGCCATGCATTCTACTGAATGCACTCAGAGCACAAGAGCCAATGTGTGGCTGCAGAGGGGTCCCACTGCTGAGTCCCCTGCAATAAAGGTGGAGCTTACGCTACTGAAAGACAAACCTTCCCTTTTGATTTTACAGAAGAGTGCTCGGCGCATCTTTCGGGAAATTGCTCAAGAATTATACCATAAGAGATATGTGGAAACATGCCAACAACCTGTAAGTATAAAACAGCAAAAGGCACAATGCAGATCTAAGGATATAAAGAAGTACTTCCAACAAGCTGTCAATAACCAAGTTTTCCTTTAGAAGACTCTTTCACAAAGTGTCTTTATCAGAGAACCTCTGATACTTTGGGCTAAAGCATTTGATACAGTGTTTAACAGTCAGAGGCCTCCATCTTAGTGATTTTTTTTCCCCCTCTTGAGTCAAGGTTTCTCTGTGTAGCAGTTCTTGCTGTCCTGGAACTAGCTCTTGTAGACCAGGCTGGCCTCAAACTCACAGAGAGTCACCTGTCTCTGGTCCAGAGTACTGGGATTAAAGGTGTGCCCGGCTCATAATGTGGTTTTTAATACAGGCAAGGGGCTTTTATGGACTAAAAGCTACTTCGTACTGCAGCCAGTGAGCAGTAGGCCCAAGTCAATGCTACAATCCTGTGCAGATAAAATAATATATTTAAATCACTTGTTACCAGTAAGGAAAAAAATCAATTTGCTAATGACACAAAAGCAGCATCTTGCTAGCTCTAGGACTGGACAGTCTAGGCAACTTCCTGACAGAATACCTCTCAAGACACAGGCAGGATTCCGATGGAATGCAGTTTTATGGGTAGTAGAGTATCTGCTTCCACAACACACGGCTCAATGCACACCGAGAACAGATAACTAGGAAAGAGGCAAACACAACAGGATGATGACTATGAAGTGTGATTTTGTTCTGTTTTGTTTTGGCTTTTGGGAGGGTGGCAGGATAGGAAAGAGTCATCCGATTTGTAAGGGCTCCATGGCAGAGCATTTGCCCAATATTCATTCAGGCCCTGGGTCCCATCCCCAGCATCAGTTTTTAAAAATAAAAATCTAAACTTTTTTTTAACCAAAAGAGAGTATCATCCACATATTCAATTCACCCTCCTGTGCATAAAGACAAAAACTGTCTGTTCACACTTTTTCCTACTGAAGCTAAGGCTTATTTTATCTTATTTTTTGAAAAATGATCTCGCTCGTAGTCCTAGCTGGCTGGGAACTTGCCCTGTAGCCCAGGCTGGCCTGAAGCCCACAAAGACGCACCTGCCTGTCTCCTGAGTGCTTTCCCACAGAAGCAAAAGTAAATAGTCTGAAGGAAGATGGAACCAAGAACCGTAAAGTTCTGAGTCAAAGACTTGACAACAGCACCATGACAGATTTTATCTTAGTTCCTATATCGTACTTTAAAAGGAAGGAAAAATGAAGCCAGGTGAAGTAGTACACACCTTTGATCCCAGCACTAGGGAGGCAGAGGCAGGCGGATCTCTGTGAGTTGAAGACCAGCCTGATCTACAGGAGCTAGATCCAGGACAGGCTCCAAAGCTACAGAGAAACCCTGTCTCGGGAAACCAAAAATAAAAATAAAAAAGGAAAACTGGTAACCAGACTTAGAAGAACTGGAAGGGCCAGGCAAGATGGTACACTCCTGTTATCCCAGCCCTCAGAGACTAAGGCAGAAGAACTATCAGCTTCACAGCAAGCCCCTGAGCCATGTTTCAGAAACAAACCAAGATGAGCATGGTAATATATTTGTGTTTTGCTGTTTTGGCCCCACAACACCACTTTTGTTGTTGTCACTTTATTTTTTCCCGAAGACAGGGCTTCTTTGTGTAATAGCTCTGGCTGACTCAGAACTCACCTTTTAGACCCATTTGTAAGGGCTCCAAGGCCTCTAGAGCATTTGGCCTTGAACTCACAGAGATCTGCCTGCCTCTGCAACCCAAGTGCTGGGATTAAAGGTGTGTGCCACCTCACCGTCAGCAACAAGACACCTATAATCCCAGTATTTACTTGGTAAAAGCAGAAGATTTAAAGTTCAAGGTCATCCTGGACTACAAACTAAGTGAGTTCAAAGTCAGTCTAAGGGTTACTCGTCTCAAAAGATCACACCACTAAAGCAAAGGGTGGATTCTTTTTTCACACAAAAAGAAAATTCAAACTGAAAGTACATATGCACATACCCTCATGAGGACATGCATGTACACGAGCACACATACACACACACACACACACACACACACACACACACACACACACACACACGCACACACGATTCATAGTGTACACAAGACCAAAGCGGCATGCTCCTATGTAGCTGTAGGATGACATCACTGGTAACATAATGATAAGCACAGCTCCCGTTTACTGTCACAGGAGAGAGACGACACTTATGAAAACAGAAGAGCACTTCCCACCCCTGGAAGACCATAGAGGTACTTACTCTCTACCGCAGCGTGAATGGACACAAATCAATCAAAAGCACCAAGGAAAGCTGGGGCGCAGCTTAGGTGGCAGAGCGCTTACCTAGCAGGCACAAAGCCCTGGGTCTGTCTGATCCCCAGCACCACGTAAACTCAGCAACGTGACACGAGGCCATAATCTTGACATTTTGAAGGTTGAATAAAGAGGATCAGAGGTTCAAGATCATACTTGAGTAGAGGATGAATTTTAGGCCAGAGATAAATGTCACCCTGTCCCAAAACAACTGCCACCATCAAAAGAAAAAGAAGTGGAAAGGACAACCACACCAGAAGGCAGAGCGTAAGAAACTGTCACTAACAGTACAAAATGAAAACCTCAAAAAAATTTAACTGCAACTTTTCCAGGAACAGTCTAAAGAGCCTCATTTTAAAAACACAAAAACAAAAACAACAACAACAAAAAAAACCTTCATCTTGGGGGCTGGAGAGATGGCTCAGAGGTTAAGAGCATTGCCTGCTCTTCCAAAGGTCCTGAGTTCAATTCCCAGCAACCACATGGTGGCTCACAACCATCTGTAATGGGGTCTGGTGCCCTCTTCTGGCCTTCGAGCATACACACAGACAGAATATTGTATACATAATAAATAAATAAATAAATATTTTTAAAAAAACTTCATCTTAACAGTCTTTTAAAATTGTTATGTCTATCCTGTCAGTTCACTCAACGTAGTAGAGATGTGACGGCCAAGAACCTGGAGAAGGCTTAGAGTTAAACCACAGATCTGAATTCTGCGGGAATAAGTGTCTTCCTGAGCTGTGGGAATGACAAAACAACGAGAATCAAGTGCGAGGGGGGCAAAAGGAGGAAGGAGAAGGTCAATTTTTGAGTAACAGAAACTCACTGTAAAAAGTATCTTGGAACAAAAATCATTTCTTCTGATATTGAAATGGAGCAATGGCAGTGCACATTCTCCTGCTGAAGTATGCAGAACAACCAGGAAAAGCAACACCAAAAGAGAGACTAGAGGAAGAATACAAATCGGGAAACCCAAAGCAGATCAGAAAATGCCTCAGAACAAATGCATACAACTGACTCTAGATGTCAGTATGGTGACAAAGACTTCAGACCCAGGGAGTGCCATGACCACTGGTGGGTTTAGATGGAGGGCCTGGTACAGCAAGGTCCTCACTATTTCACTAAGAGGTATGCCATGGATTGCTCTTTGAATATAAAGTACTGACAAGCCCACATTGCTCACTAAATTCCATCACAGTGTATTCTATCAGTAGTTTCTTTTAAACAGGTACTAACTGCCACACACTCTTCTTAAAACACAGATACAGTCAGTCCTCACACACTTCAAAGTTTCTCTGGAAGAGTCTGACCCTGGTGGCTCCAATCAGTGCTATCCTGGTAACATGTGTCCCCAAAACAGCAAAGAGCAGGTGACCTCACTTTACTTGTGTACACGCACACACATGAGTACACATGTATTGTGTGTAGTATATACATGTGTATATGTATGTTAGCAACTGCAAAAGGAATAAAACAGTGGCGTATACAGCAACACATCTGTTGGCTGGTTAGTTGTCTGAGATTTTCATTTTTTCACTTCTATGTGTGCATGTGTCTGCAAGTGCCCACGGAGGCCAAGCGAGGATATCAGATTCTCTGCAACTGGAATGACAGGTAGTTGTGATCTGTCCAACGTGAGTGATGGGAACAGTACTTTTTTCTTGTGTGTTTTTTTGTTTGTTGTTTTTTGAAATAGGCTTCCTCTGTAGCTTTGGAGCCGGTCCTGGAACTAGCTCTTGTAGACCAGATTGGCCTCAAATTCACAGAGATCTGCCTGCCTCTGCCTCCCAAGGGCTGGGATTAAAGGGGGCACTCTTAACCACTGAGCTATTCCCCTCCCTTCCTTTCTGACACATGACCCCACATAACCTATGAACTCATCTTTCTGCTACCATACTCCAAAATGAACATCTTATAGACTCCAAGAGGCAAACCCCCTCACTCTGAAACTACCAGTTTAAGCAAAATAAACAAACTTCTAGACCAGAATACAGAAAGGGGCAAATACTAACTCCATTAAGAGTAGAGTACTGGATGTAAGTATCATTCATTTCTGCCAGTGATTGTGCTCTTGTACTGTTTCCAGGAGACAAATTCCTGTATTAGGATTGAAGTCTAATATGCCTTTCCTGAAGAATGAATGCAACTGCCTCAAAGTTGAACTTTAAACTGAAACTGGAAAGGTATTTTCAGAGGAAGTACCTTACACATCTATTCCCGACATTACACACAAGACGGCCCAACACTCAGTGAGCTGGCTATTCTAAAGGCCTGCCCTGCACTCTGTCCTTGGTTACACTGAGTTTGCTCTCTTCCAACCTCACCATGTCTGCGTCTTCATGCTTTTACACAGACTCTTGTGTGAGTTTGCAACAGCTATGAAGATCCAGCTCAACAGAATGAGCAAGGTCCCGAGTTCAACCCCAGGACTGTAAAAACAAGACAACAAACACAACAGCTCAACAACGCACACACAAAGCCTTCCCTAAGTCCCAGTTAATGAGCTCTCCTTCTCTAGTCCCACCATACTTTACCCTGTCTCTTTACATTATCCCAACATTGCCTTTACAGCTACAATCTATAATAGAATCACAACTAGAAGCACAGTGTTCATTTATCTTGGTATTTCCACTACCTGGCTCTTTCCAGCACAGAGGCCTTCAAATGACTTTGTATGAATATGAATGAACAGTAATTCTATTTTAAAACTTCTTTCATTTCAACTGAGATGAGAAACACTTCAATTCCTTGCCGCCACTGACCTTTCTCCAGAAGCTACTAGCTGAACCCTTTCTTGCTCCCTGGGCATCCAGAGAATTTTCCCTGTTACATACTAAACCATAGTCCCCATGTGACTGGCGTCTCCCATGACAGTGAAGATGAATGATGTCAAGATGCACCTTAGTCAGCTGCTGTCACTGTGACAAAGCATCACAGGCTTTGTGGCTTACAAGCAGCAGAAATGTCTTTTTCAGACTTCTGGAGGCTGAAGTGGAATCAGAGTCCTACAAGGTGGGTTCTAATTAGGTCCCTCCTCCAAACTGCTGAAGGCAGAGCGTGGGTTCTGGAACCTCTAGCACAGGACAATGACCTAGTCAACACCATCACCTCCCAAAGGGGCCCCCGCACAATGGAGGAAAGGCTTAACATACAAGAAGCAAAAGGATCCAGAAGTCTCCTATCTATATCCTCTACCCTGAATTGCCTGCCAAGACATGCCAATGAGGTTTTCAAAAGAATTAATTCCCTTTTCATCTCTGTAAGAAACAAGTATGATCAATAATCACAAATAAAAAAAAGAGTAGAATAGGACAGACTAGAATAAATCTAGCATGGATCAAATACCAGAAACCAGACCCATACAGTTGGCCACTGTCTAATAATACATGACTTAACCCTCATAATAAACCCTGACGTGGGTATTAGCCACTCTGGACAGGAGAAGCTCTCAGATTATTAAGAGGTCAAGCTAACCCATATTTCAAATTCAAAGAGGGGCTAGCCCTCTGACACTAAGCTCTTTCCACAAAATAGACTAGGAGTCCTGCATGCTTCTATCTGGGTGAGTGAGTTTTAGAATGAATGTCTAACCAGAAGAAAGGGCATGCCTATAAATCCTAGCATTCAAGAAGCAGAGGCAGAAAGACAAACATAAATTTGAGACCAACCCAAGCTACAAAGGAAGTTCCATACCAACCAAAACTACATAGCAGGACACAATAATAATAATAATAATAATAACAACAACATAATAGTCTAATTCAATCAGACCATGACCTTATAAATGAGTAAGAAAGTTGCTAACAGGCTATTTCTTAAAAGCACAGGCCTCACGCAACAGTTTCACAAAATAACGTTATCAAATTTTTAAAGAATAAAATATAGAGTAGAACATTCCCAATTATTTTCTACAAAACCAGCAGGACAATGATATAAAACCAAGATACCACCCTCCACAGACAAAAAGAGCACCTAAAAGTAATCTACTCATCCACAGTATTAAGGCTGTCTATGAGGTGCTGTGGTCACCTCTGTCATCTTATCTCCTCAGCTTAAGGAAGGAATATCCCGAGTTCAGGGCCAGCCTAAATAACCTAGTGAGACCCTATCTCAAATAAAAATTAAAGAGGTGGGGGGGGGGAGAGCTGAAGAGGTGTTAAGAGCAGTAAGAGTAGTTACTGCTCTAACAGGGATAGGAGTTTGGCTCTCAGCTCCATGTCAGGTGGCTCACAACCTCCTGTAATCCCAACTCCTGGTCTTTTGGCCTCTGTAAGCACCTGCACTCATATAACCCAATGCATGTACATAAATCAATTTTTAAAAATTAGGAGCCAGCAAGATGGGTCAAAAGGTAAAGGTGCTTGTTGCCAAGCTTGAAGACCTCAATTCCTGGAACCCAACAGTGGAAGGAGAGAATCAAGTCCCACAAGCTGTTCTCTCACCTCCACATCTCCCAACACACACACACACACACACACACACACACACACAAATAAAGCCATTTAAAAAGGTAAATGTGTGAAAATAAGTTGCAGTGTAGAGCACTTGTGTAGCACATCCAAGATTATGAGTCCAGTCACTAGAACTGAAAAAAATAAATGGTAAAAATATCAATGTTCATGGCATTTTCTTTTTTGGTTTGTCAAGACAAGGTTTCTCTGTATAGCCCTGGTTGCCCTGGAACTTCCAGGCTGGCCTCAAACCCAGAGATGTGCTTGCCTCTGCCTCCTGAGTGCAAGGATTAAAGAAAGGTGCCACCAGTTGTTCATGGCATTTTCTTTCTTTCTTCTTTTTTTTTTTTTTTTTTCTTAGAGACAGGATTTCTCTGTGTAACAGCCCTGGCTGTCCTGGAACTACACCTGTAGACAGGTCTGGCCTTGAACTCACAGAGAGCTGCCTGCCTCTGCCTCCTGAGCACTGGGATTAAAGCCTGCACCACCACGCCTGGCATCTGTAGCATTTCATTTAGAATGTTGACAAGTGCTGCAGACCAGAGTGGCACTGTCTTAAAGAGGCCTCTCAGAGACTGTCTTCAATATGATCACTCCCAGAGACTCTGAATACTCAGATATAAATTTCAGTATTAACTCTTGATTTAAAAAAAAAAAGATTTTAAAACATATCAACCAAGCAGTGATCTGTGTAAAGCAGACTCACCTGGGATTCACCATGTAGAGCAGGCTAGGCTAGAATTGCTCCTGCAGCTCTTGCCTTGGTCTCTCAAGCACTAGGCTTACCAGCATAAGCCATCACACACACATTTTTGATACTGGTGTTGTAAAAGCAGACTACTAATGTCTGGCCTCTTTCCTCCAACAGTAAATGCTAACAACCATATTGGAGAAGGAGAAAATAATCTGTAGTTTGTTAAATTCCATGTGTCAATGTTTCCACCACGCTCAGCGGCAACGACACTGCATCTACTCCATGTAAGGGTCGGGCCCCATGAATCAGTCTGAGCCAGTCCAGCTCACCACTACTTATACCCAGGTAGCGTTGAAGTGTGTTCCTAGATATATTTCAAGGAAAAATTAAAGTATACCTAATGGCTTCTATCTGCATACATGTACAGTAAGATTTGAAGAATATTTTAAGATGATCAAAAACCAAAAATGGATTGGAATAAAACAAAGATTTTCATTATATACCCTTTGCAAGCAGCCTGAACAATTTTTACCATGAATGATTTTGCATAAAATTATGATTTTTAACAAATTAACCATGTTATTAAATTTATTTGTACAACATTATTCTCCTTAATGACATCTTTTTCCCTGAACAGGTCTCACCAGATACCAACCCCAGTTGAAGACAAGGTGAGGGAACCGAGTAAACAGACTAAGAAGAAACACAAGTGGAGCTGGAGACATAGCTCAAGTTAAGAGTACTGCGTTCTTCCAGATGACCCAGGCTCAATCTCAGCACCCACATGGCAGCTAACAACTGTCGGTAACTCCAGTTCCGGACGATCCAACACCCCCACATACACATACACACAGGAAAAACATCAATGCACATAAAATAAATAAATCTTTAAAAGGAACGAAATACAAGACTACTTCTTCTAAGTTAGCCTAAACAACAAAACTGTAGCTAAATGCATGGCACTGACTATCCCCTCCCCCCAAAAAAAACCATCAAGAGTAATCATTCTGCCTTTAATTGCTTTTGTTAATTAATTAAACCAAGCAGGCTAAGCCCACTCAGGCACCCTCTCAACAAGCCCACTCTGCGCCTTCAAGTCTCCCATCCTCACAGTTTCCCATGGAAATCATCAGGATTTAATTAGAGCCTCAGAGAAGGGAAGCAGGAACAACAACAGAGTGCTCCAGACAATCCACAGAAGCTACAGGTCAATAAAGGTCACCCCTAGCAACAAGACTTTGTCTCAGATTTGTTATGTGTCACAGGCCAGACTCAGAGTCCACAGGCAGCTCTGGACACCCACAATCAAGAAGCTTGTTCTCAGTCTTAAGTGAAAACTGCGCTCTTGTTTAGCTTGACTTCCTTTCAATGCTTCTTGTCAGAAACACAAGGAAATGAAATTTGTGGTTAGACTGATGTTTCTTCCTCCTGCTCTTCCACCTCCTGCTATGCCAGGAAGTAGCATTAAAGCTCTATCATGTGGTTGCCCATCAGGACACAGGAAGACAGAACCTTACAACTCAATGTCTAGTGAGTGAGTGCAGAGAGGGAGCCAAGGCTCAGTCTCAGAGACGGGCACTTACATGATAGATACGGTGTGGACGGCGCTCACACAGCAGGATGAAAGCCACCCAACAACAGGAAGATAATGTACACAGAAGAAAGACTGGAGGGGGACATCTATCCACTCATTTTCTTTTTCTTTTTTTTTAATTTTACTTATTTTTATTTTGTGTGCCTTGGTGTTTTGCCTGCATGCATCTCTGTGTGAGGGTGTCAGATATTGGAGTTACAGAGTGCTGGGAATTGAAACCAGGTCCTTTGGAAGAGCAGTCAGTGCTTTTAACCACTGAGCTAGCTATCTCTCCAGCCCCTCCACTCATTTTCTTCCTGCTCTCCAATGTCTACAAATTTTCCATCTTCAAGCCTGGTATGAGGGCAAACATCTGTAACCTACTTTTTTTTTTCTTTTTTCGAAGCAGAGGACCAAACCCAGGGCCTCGTGCTTACTACGCAAGCACTCTACCACTGAGCTAAATCCCCGACCCCTGTAATCCACGTCTTGGAAGCAGAAGCAGGAGAAAGATCAGGAGTTGAAGCCATCCCCAGTTACACAGCAAGTGAAGGTTACACGAAACTGCCTCAGAAACAAATCTAAGATGGCTCAATGATGGGGAGATGACTCGGAGGTTAACATGTTTCTATGCACGCATGAGACCTGAGTTCGGATCTCTAGCACCCATGCAAGAGATGGGTGTGGCAGCACAAAACTGTGATGCCAGGGAGTAAGACAGGCAGCGATCTGGGGCTTGCTGGCCACCAGTCCAGCTATAACTCAGCAAATTCCAGGTTCAGTGAGACCCCCATCTCAAAAAACAAAAGATGAAGAGCAACAGAGACAGACAACTGATATCAACCTTCTTTACAGAGAGAGAGAGAGAGAGAGAGAGAGAGAGAGAGAGAGAGAGAGAGAGAGAGAGAGAGAGAGAGAATATTTCCTATTTGGGGTGAATGTAAAGACAAGCATTAAGTACAAAGGGAGGGCCCTGTCATAGTGACCTATCACTGTAACCCCAGCATGTGGGAAGCTGAAACAGGAGGAGCATGAGTTTCAAACCAGCTGGAGTTTTGGGAACCTGCCTCCAAAACAAGCCAGCAAATGAAATAATGACAGGAGGAAAAAGAGGGAAGGAAGGAGGGGACGTAGGAAGGAGAAAGGGAGGAATGGAGGAAGGGAGGAAGAAAGAGGAAAGAAGGACTGATAGATAGACAGACGATGACCATGGGTGAAAAATAAGAACAAGAATTAAAGAACATAGAAGCACCCTTAATTAAAAGGTTTATATTAAAAAGTTTAATCTCTAGCACCACATAAATCCTGCACTAGAGAGACCGAGGCAGAAAAGATCAAGGTCATCTTTGGCTGCACAGCAAGTTTGAGGCTAGTCTGGGCTACATGAGACCCTGTCTCAGGGAAAAAAAAAAAAAGACTAACGATTTTTAAAATATTAATATGCACAAGTAGTTTTCTACTGATGCACATTAACTTATCAAAATACAGAAGAGAGAATTAAAGACATAATTTTCAAGTTGACCTAAAGTGCAAACGACAGCAGCTTAAAGTATGAATTACTGTGACATTAAGTTACAGTCAGAAGTCACAGTAAACCTAAGGCCAGGAAACAGCCCATCTCTTCTAGTACACTCTTCAATCAATATTAATGAAGACCAGCACCAATAATTTACAAAATCACATTACAAGGCTTGGAGAGATAAATGGCTTCAAGGTTAAGAACATGCACAGGAACCAAGTTCAGTTCCTGGAACCCAAGCCGGGCAGCTCCAGTCCCTAGGGATCTGATGCCATCTTCTAGCTTCTGCAGATGCTGTACTCATATGCACACACACACAGACAGTTCTAAAAATGATAATAAAATTATTTTTTTTAATCTTGTTACTCAAAGAAATGATACAAATTGGAGCATAAATATCTTCAAAAGAGAACACTCATCATTTTTATTAGAGTCTGGAACAAAAATTTCAAAAACGTAAAAAACAAAACAGCTATGACATTTAGCAAGTATCTATTAGCAGATTAAAAGATACAATTCACCACTTGACTTGGCCTATATAAGCCACTAAATAAATGGCTCAAGTGCCATTTAAAGCTAAGTGAGTGCAGACACAGACACACTGACCAGCCAAGTACAAGTACGAATAGTGCCAGGGGGTACCAGGGTGCTATAAGGTCTGTATTAAGATAAGCATTAACCAAAGTGATACTATATATGTTTAATTATATTATTTTAAATTCTGTATGACTAAAAAACACTAGGCTGTGTTTAGCTGCTCATAACATAAAATCAAAAATACCAATATATAGTCATTCTGAGAAGAGTTGGCCTGTCCACACTTACCGTTTTCCACATACGGATGGAAGGGCAAAACTAAGGCAAGAATGACCCTGCCTTGGGTGGGCTCCAGGACACTTCTGATATCTTTTAACAATGTCAGAGGCTGATCACAACGATCCAGCAGATTTAAGCAGCTGATGACATCATACTGGAACCCTGTATTCTGCCATTCATTTATACCAAGCACTCTGGGGAAAAAAAATCAAAAAGAACTTGGTTAATATTTCTCTGATTTAGAGCCAGCTTTAAAAATAACTATAAGCAGAGAGTAGCGGGACACACCAAGAAAACCTCTCATTTAATCTACCTCAAAATCAGCTGCAGGTAAGTAGTTTCTGTGTTAGGGATTCTAGAAAACAGAGATACACTCTCTGAACCAAAACTTAAGAGTTTTACGCTGGGACAGTTAAACTTACGCTGACAATCTCATCCTTATTTCATTTTTTAAAATTCTATTTGTAAACTCAGTTCCATTCTTTAAGATACATTAGTAGCTGTCCTCAAATGTTCTCCAAATGTCCAACCTGGTCCTGCTCCACCGAAGCTGGGAAGATGCTGTGACTAGGATTAGCCTAAGTTAAAACATGTGACAGGAAAGCAAATGGAGACATAATTTCTGTCCACGGCCTCCAAACATTACAGAGGCAGGGGCCACCTCCACACTGTGTAAGCAGTCCATACACAGAAGTCTCTGAACCCACAGACTTCGTATCTAATAAATACTCTTCCTAAGTCTCTCAAGCAGCAGGCATTTTACAAACTAAACTTGACACTTTATACCCATCATTACTGTCAGCTGTTTGGGTAGGGGGTGGAATCCAACTTCTGTCAGAGACATAAGGAAATTAGTTAGTGCGGATGTAATTGGTATAGGTGCTATGGAAAAGGTACAGTGAATTCTCAAAAAATTACACAAAGACTTAGAGGGCAGAGAGATGGCTCAGAAATTTGGAGCACTTGGTGATTTGTAGAGGACCTGGGTTTGAGTCCAAGAACCCACATGGTGGCTCACAACCATCTGAAACTCCAGTTCTAGGGAATCCCAACACCCTCTTCTGGCCTTCATGGGCACCAGTCGTGCACATGGTACACAGACATACGTGCAGATAAAGTACTATACACATAAAAAAATATATTTAAAAAATGTTAAAACCATAGACTTAACATGTGATCTAGCAATTCCACTTTTGGGCGTATACCTAAGGGGGGGACTTAACAGGCATTTATATTACTTATTCATCATGTATTACTCACAATGGCTGTGGTGGCTTGAATGAGCATGGCCCCCAAAAGGCTCACATATTTGAACACTTGGTCCCCAATTGGTGAACTGTTCGGGAAGGACTAGGAGGTGTGGTCTTGTTTAAGGTGGTCACTGGGGGTAGAATTTGAGGCTTCTCAATGCTCACAATATTCCCAGTTCTCTCTCTGTGCTTTACAGCTGTTATCTCAACACGTGCGCTCAGCTACTACTCCAGTGTCGTGCCCACCAGAAAGGTCGGAGACTCACCCTATGAACCTGTAAGCCCCATAAACTCTTTGTTGTATAAGTTGCCTTGGTCACCGTCTCTTAGTACAGTAACAAAAAGTAATTAAGACAAATGTTAAGAAGCAACCCAAACGTCTGTAAAATAGTGTGGAGGAACTGTACAATTGTGTTATTCGGTACTAAGAAAATTGAAGTACAAGCTACAACACAGATGAACCACCAAAACAATATGCTAAATGAAATAAGCCAGTCAAAGGGCTTCCATGGGTCCTCCTATGATTCCTCCAAGATAAAGTACACGGAAGAGTCAAATTCATACAAACCAGAAAGGTCATTATGAACTGGAAAGAAGGACGAATCAGAGATGACTATTTGAGAGTGTTGTTAGGGAAGATGAAAAAGCTATGAGGACAGATGTTACAAGTGAACCACTACCACTGACCTAATTATAAACTTAAAAATGATTAAAATGATACATCTTACATTTATTTTTACCAAAAAAAAATTTAAAGCATACAAAATATCTGGACATGCCAGATCCTACCTAGAGGAGAGCCCCTCATATGTGACTGCCTGCTCCAAGCTGTCTCTCACTCATGCTATGTTCCCTGTGATGACAAGTCCTCTGCTTCAGAAAAATGCTGCCATGGAAAATTCCTTTTCTCTGGTTTCCCAATGATTCATGTTTAATTCTTAACCATGGAAAACTGTTCCTGATTCTTATCACTAGGATATGTGCAGAGGTAAAGTGCTGGCCCAGCAAGCACAAGACCCTGCGTCCAATCCCCAGACAGACACACACACACACACACACACACACACACACACACACACAAATGTATGTAAACACATATACATACACTTTAAAGAAGAAATCCATCTAAAACCAAGATATACCCAATACCCCTGGCACACCTCTAGAACTGGTACCTGTATTTCTTCTTCTGGAGCTGCCAGATCATCGTTTCAGAAAGCTCAGTGGCATAAATTTCTTCAAAATGAGGGCTCATGATTTTTGTGACTTCTCCATCTCCAGCACCTAAGTCAAGAAGTCTGTGAGTTTTCCAGTCCGGATTAATTTTAAGCAGTCTCTGAAACTGATCTGGTGAAAACACAAACATCGAGCCTCTTCCTAGCAACCTGGGGAAAAAGGGTAAGAGTTGAAGTCTACACATATTAATACTTCTATATACACACAGAGCAAACAGCACCAAAAATTTCTGACTTTGTTAAACTATTATATGATTAAAACATAGTTTATCTTCTATGACTAAAAAGCAAATTCACTAACATATCATATAATGGTATCATGATTTTCAGTTGCAAATGCACAGTAAGGAGAAGTAGAAAAGAAATGAAATAATGGAAGTGAGAACTTTAGTCAAATAGGAAGAAAAGAAGGAAGGAAAGGCAGAGATGCCAGGTCAGTGGAGTCAGACCGCAGTACTAGGCAGAGGAGTCAAGCATGCCTTCTAAGATGATAGACTCAACAATGGGTGATAGGAAAAAATAAATAAAAAGAGTTTAAGATACACTAAAAATACAATCATCTTAAAAGAGGAAACGAGAAACCTTTGTAAGATCAGCCAACTGGCATTAAGAAAGTGGATCCATATTCAGGTAGGTTGTTTTACAATTAGCCGAGACCTATAATTTATTAAAGGTTCTAAAAAAAAAACTTAAACTGATAGTATTGACTAAAAAGATAAAAATAAAAAGAGACTGACAGAAGTTAAGTGGAGACCGAAAGAGCCCGCAGGAAAGCAGGCACAGCTCAAGCAAGCCGCAGAGACATGCACTCCCTACTCCCTTCTTGCTCTTAAATCCTGGTTTGTCTGGGGCAAAAATTCTCCAACTTCCTTTAAACGAAACAGCCTTTTCTTCAAATGCAGTGAAACTCAGACTTACAAAATCTAAGGAGCTATTACTGCTGCAACAAGGCTTAAAAGCCTACAATTGCCAGAAGCCCACTTTTAAGATTTTCTCTGCAACCTGAAGCTTGATGCAGCTCCTCCTCAGAATATGGAAAACCACTGGTACCAGAAGCAGCGAAATCTGCACCATTTTGTCACTTTCTGGAAATAATCAGAATGTAAACTAGGTTTACTGTTCAATGACTGTGAAAATACAACACGGTGCTTGCAGTAAGACCAGCTTCAAGAACAGTAATAAAAATGGAGCTGATGTAATAAATTCCTTCTCTTCTTTTGCCATTAAGGCCATAAGAGAGCCGAACAACATGCAATAATTTACAGTAAATCTTCTGTCTCACATAAATGCTGAAAGACTGGGGAGCAGGAACCGAGAAGACCCCAGAGACTGCTAAGCATGTTGTTGAGAACTTTTTAGCAAAGAAAGTCATATCTCATAAGAGACATAACTAATCCCCATTGTTTTCAGTGCTAGAGGGAAAACAAGCACACGTGAGAAAAGGGGCTAAACTTGCTGAAATGGCTGTGCAAAATCCACGCAGGATCCAGTCAAGCAGAAGGGCTCCAGGCAGCCTGATGCTGACTTCATGCCATAGAACCAAAATAAGTCATAAAGTACTTTGCCTAAAATTTTCCCAGCTATAAAACATGTTCCCAAGCCGTCTCCTTGGAATGTGAAGAAGCCTGTCATGTTACTATAAAATTATAGGGCCAGAGATCATCTGAGTTCAGAGCTCACAAAATTAACGCACGAAAGTCTACGTTTAAAGGCACCAAAAAGAAATGAGGGAAATAGTACCCTATCTGCAAAGAACATGAGCAAAGGGGGCTCCATAAAAAAGAGTGTCAAAAAGAGTCAACTAACTCTGCCCTTCGAGAAGTTCAACATGACCTAAGAAGCTAAATGCCCTACACTGTTTATAGCAAGCAAACAGAATTATCCAAGTACACATGGAGACACTGCACTAGTATGACATCAGGCCTCCAGGAACACTGTGGAGAATGTTCTCCACTCTTTCCAGTCCTTCAGAATCATCTAGGTTCTCTAGACAGAAGTCTACAGAGAGCTGTGTTTCTTCCTTATAAAATAAACTGAAAACAAGCTGGGCTTAGTGGTGCACGCCTTTAATTCCAGCACCTGGGGGGAGAAGGCAGGCAGGTCTCTGTGAGTTCAAGGCCATCCTGGTTTACAGAGGGAGTTCCAGAACAGTCTAGGGCTACACTGAGAAACCACATCTTGAAAAACCAAAATAAATAAATATAAATAAACTGAAAACAGCTATCAAGTTTCTCAAGGGATATAACTTAGGATATAAAAACAGTCCTTGCCCCAACTGTGTAAGGGAATAAAATCCCCAGTACCACCAATTTTTTTAAAAAAAAAAAAAAAAGAAAAGAAAAGAAAATCTTTTAAACTGGGTGTGGAGGCATATATCTGTTATTCCAGCAGTCAGGAGGCAGAGGTAAGAGGGCTGCCACAAGTTCAAGACCAGCCAGAGACACATAGCAAGACACTATGCAAAAACAAAACCAAAAAACACAAACCAACTCTCTCTTTGCCTTCTTTGATAAGCATCTTGGTTCAAGAAGGTTTCACCATAACTATGTAGTTATTTCTATTGCAGAGAGTACCACTGCATAGTGGAAAATACCAGTGGGTTCAAAACTGAGTTCTGAGTAGAGGACAAGAGACACAAGTTTAACAAGAGGTGGGGGCAGGGCGTGGCAGTGATATGGCTCAGTAGGTAAAGGGCCAAACCTGACTACCTAAATTCAACCCCCTGCCCACACAGTGGGACAGAATCAAGTCCCACAATCTGTCCACCACCTTCACACTGGTATGTCCTGGGAATGCACATTAGCATGCATTCACACACACAATAAGCAATAATAACAACTGTAGAATGAGCAAGGCAAACAGAACAGCATGTAACAGGGGTATATCATTGAGCTCAGGAGTACAGGAGTTTGAGGCCAATCTAGGCAACATACCAAGGCTACATAAACACAAAAAGGGTCTGATGAGGGAGGGGGACTTGATGGGGGGGGGAGGGGAAATGGGAGGCAGTGGCGGGGAGGAGGCAGAAATCTTTAATAAATAAATAAATTTTTTAAAAAAAGAATACTAAGCGAGACAGAAATGCTTTCCGTGCACAACATAATGAATCAGAAACGTAAGAAACATAAAATTTTTTTAAAAGCATAAGCCTAAAATGTCAGATTGCCGAACAGCAGCAAGCCAACATTTTACTATGTTTGATGGAAAATGTTAAAGCAAAATATTGGGCTTTTCTTGTCGAAACTCAAAGTTAGACACACTCGTTTCCCCCATGCATATTGAAATAAACTTTAAAATAAAAAAATAAAAAAAAGGGTAGAGGCAGAAGAGTTACAGTAATGGAAGACAATGGCATTTACTATTATGCTGCCTTGTTGGTCAAACTGCCAAATTCTACAGTAAGGAATTTTAAGTGGGTTTCAGCAGGTAGAAGAAAAAGGAAGTAATTTTAGTTTGAGATGTCCAGAAACAAAGCACTGATGCAAGCACTTTCTTTAAAAAGTTATTTCTTTATTTTATGTGCATTGGTGTTTGTCCTACAGGTATGTCTGTGTGAAAGTATTGGATCCTCTGGAACTGGCGCACCTTGTGGGTGCTGGAAACTGAGCCCAAGTCCTCTGGAAGAACAGCCAAAGCTCTTAACTGCTAAGCCATCTCTCCAACCCTGAAAGCACTTTTTAAAGAAAAGATTCCCACCTTTTATCACTTTCAAAGAGTAGAGAACTCCCATAAAGGGTCTCTGTGAGTTCGAGGTCAGTCTGGCCTACAAAGAGAGCAAGTTCCAGGACAGCCAGAGCTACATAAAGAAACTCTGTCTTGAAAAATAAAAAATTAGAAAGAAAAAAAAAAATCCACACTTGATTTCCCCAAAAAAAAAGAATGAATGGCATAGAACAGAAAATCAGTGTAACCAATTCTAGGACAAAATAGGCCAGGTTGTATAAATTCAACTCCCAATAAAAAATCTCAAATGTTTGCTGAAGCAAACATAAACCAAGTTCATATAAACAAGGGAGAAAATTAAGTAAGAAACCCTGGCGGATGGCTTGTGTGCCTGAAAACATATTTAAGAACTAGATGATAGACTGGGGATCCGGACATTTAGCAGAAATTTGATCCAAACCTCAAGGGTAAAAGAAAAGCATCATGACTGATCGCCAAAATTTGGCTTTCTTCATTGTAAGGCCTTGGGCACGTTTAAAAATCTAACTAAGAAGTGATAAATAATATTTATGAAATCTTTTCTGTAGATATTTATGAAGGAACTAAACTTCCTGGTAAGCCTAGACATTATGTAAGGACAAATGCCAGACCCTTTAAACAGTTGTTGCCTACTGTTGGGCTGGACAGTCAGATCCCCTCAAAAACTTGTCTGTGGGATGTGGGCTTAAGGCCTTCCTTCAGCATAAGGGCCTCCTCCAGTTGAGGGCTTGGTCTCAAGTCTTTGCTACTCCAAAGCCCACAGTTAGCAGAAGTTTGTTAAAAACACAGACCCTTAGTTGGGTGAGGTGGTACATGTCTTTAACCCCAGAACTTGTGGAGGCAGAGGCAGGAGAATCTCTGTGAGCTTGAGAGCAGCCTGGTCTACGGAGCAAGGTCCCGGAAAGCTAGGACTGTTACACAGACCATCTCAAAATAAAAAGGAAAAAAAAAACAGAAAACATAGACTCTCAGGAGCAACCAACTCATAACCTACCTTTTAACACTATCTCCTGGTGGTTCCTATGTCCATCAGAGCAGGAAATGAACTGAAGTCTCCCACCATAGAAATACAGGCTAATAAAGCTACTTGCACAGTTACGATGAATTTTAAAAATATAGGTACACAAGGCTTCAATAGCAATTTTGACAAGCAGGAGTGTTGTGGCTAAGGTAGTATCTAGAACAAGGTAACTTCCCTCTTTCCTTTTTTAAGCCTGAGAATAAAAGGGGTGGAAATTCTAATATTCACTTACCCGTTGATAGATGTTCTAGACATAAACAGGCTAAAAACAGATGATACAAAAGAATGATAGAGTTGGATAAATAGCCAGCCAGATTTCTCAATGCTGTTGTTTAAGAAGATCTGTGTTCCTTGATCAAGATAACTCTGAACAAAGACAGACTGAAGTGATTCACATAACTTCTCTCTGTTGCACACATACCACTAGGGGAGAAAAAAAGTAAGATTAAACACAGTTGATGTAATGCCTAAGAAATCTAACCCCAGAGGCCTAAAATCTAATCTAAGATCTTCAAATACAATCTCATGACTCTGCAGGCGATCATCAATCATCTTTCCTGCCCACGTGACCCACAAAGTTCAGGTGACCTCTCACTTCATTCTCATCACCCAGCCTGCTGGGTAGAAGGAAGGTGAGAGGGCTTCCAGGTCATGCAGCACAGTAGCTGGCAGAACCAGGTCATCGAACTCTAACCCAAGGCCTCAGTCACAAAACAGTCAACTCAGAAAACCTTCCTTGGCCGAGACTGACTCAGGATCGCAGGCGGATGGATAGCATCACTTTGTTTAAGTGGAACACTGTATAATCCAGAGATGTACCTCGAATCTGCCAACCTAATCAGCAGCAGAGTGAACAACTAGTACTCTGGAAAATAGATCAGCTTGCCTTCTTCAGAGGTATAAGGAAAAGAGACCTTTGGACATCCTGGGGTGTGCTTTAGTAGTATGCCCGCCTCAACTCTCATGAGCTCAAGAAAGCTGAAGAAGTTACTTGAGTTCATTCTGCAATTAAGACGACCAAGTGATTACACACTAAGAAAAGATTTCTAAAAATAGGTTCTAGTGCTGGGCGGTGGTGGCTTGTGCCTTTAATCCCAGCACTCGGAGGCAGAGGCAGGCGGATCTCTGTGAGTTCAAGGCCAACCTGGTCTACAAGAGCTAGTTCCAAGACAGGCTCCAAAGCTACAGAGAAACCCTGTCTTGAAAAAACACAAGAATAGGTTCTAGCCAGATAATATATTTTAAAAACAAAATTCCACAACTACAAAGAAAGTTAACCTTCAAAGGCTAGACACACGGCTCAGTGTTTAAAAACACTAGCTGGCCCTGCAAAGGACCCAGATTCAGTTTTCTAGCACCCACATGGCAGCTCACAACCGTCTGCGACTCCAGTGTTAGGGAATCCAATGCTCTCTTCTGGCCTCCCTAGGCACAATATGCACATGGTGCACATATATACATGCAGGCAAAACACCCACAGGCATGAAACTATCTTTATATGTTTATTTAGCAAGCCTTCCAAAACAAACACTTCCCATCTCCCTAGAGTTGACTCTCCTTAGCTCACAAGGGAGATGAACAAATACAATGCGGACAAGTCAGTACAGTACAAAGCAGTAGTGATTCCTCTCAGACAGACACCCTCAAGTCCCTTATACACAGTGGAAAAACTGCAGTTACTTTTAGTGCATTATTTATTAGGAAACTACTAATTTTTCCAAATAAGGAGTCCACTAGCCCTAAGTGACTTGCTTAACCTTGACAAATCTGACCACTTACTAGCAGTAAGTGTCCCATAACTTCCTGCACCATTAATGGAGCAATTTTATAGTCATCCTACACTTAGTAAATGCTGAGTGCAATCAGTCTTCTTGACACTAACATTAAAAGAAACCAAATGGAAGCCAGCAAAAACAAGCAAAAGGTCACAGTAAATGTCAATGATTCAGCCTTCGAACACTCTACAGACTCCAAAGCTCTTGACTACTTTGCACTAACTTGCTGTTTAACCACTGCTAACAAAACTTCCTGGACTTTACCTAAAACTACTTGTTGTCTCTGCCCTATAGTGACAAGCTATAAAACGGCTTGAAATTCACAGCCTACACTTCTCTCCTTGGTCTGGAAATGTTCTTGCTTAATCATTTACTATTTACTAATCCTTAAAACTTACTGAGCCTGAAGCTATGCCCCAGTACAGCTCATAAACCATTTTTATTATACTCATGACCTCGTGCACATTCTGAACTCTACAACTGAGTTACTCTGACTTGTATTTATTTTTTACTCTGAAATGGCTAATCTAGTTGAAACACAGCACCTTGCTAACAGGCAATCAGGAGCATTCTGTTAACGTGGGCAACAAGTCATCCAACGGAAAACCAGGAGCTAAGAATTTCTTGGCATCCATTTGTAAACGGACAAGAGTAACAATGGATCCTGACTTTCAGAAGAAGTGGCATCATTAACTGCTATTATTGCTTTCAAACACCATGAAAAAAATCTCAAATTTTAATATATTTCTCCATTCATAAATACTAACACATATATTGGACCATTACTGCCACAAAAGTTTTCTTAGGAAAAAAAAATCTGTGGTGTTTTGAGTAAGAATGGTCCCCACAGGCTCATATATTTGAATGCTTTAGTCACCAGAGAGCGGCACTATTTTAAAGAAGGGGGGGTAGTTAGGAGGTGTGGCCTTGCTGGAGGAAGTGTGACACTACAGTTGGGCTTTGAGGTTTTTAAAGTCCACGCCAAGCTTACAGTCCATCTTCTCAGCCTGCAGACCAGGATGCAGTTCTCAGCTACCACTTGAGCACCTGTTGCCACCATGCTCCCTGACATAATGATAATGGATTATGTGGAAAATACTAAAAACTTTGATTTTTTTGGTGCGGACTGTGAAGATACCTCAGTTGATAAGATGCTTGCTTTTCAAACATGAACTCATTTATGAGTTCAATGCCCAGAACCCATAAATTCTGAAATTCTAAGTAAGCCTTCAATTAAATATTTTCTTTCCTAAGAGTTGCCTTGGTCATGGAGCCTCTTCACAGCAATGGAGTGACAGACGGTGTTTAGTAAATGGAATATGCTGCAAAATAAAAAGGAGTAAAGTTCTTCTCTGTGAAGGTTTCCATGTAGTTATGTGACAGAAGCCTCATGTCCACAACAGCACCCAGCTGTCATTACCAAAGAGCAGAAACAACTCAACTGCCCGTCAACAATGAGTAAAACAGTATAAGGGACGCACACAAGAGAACAGTGTTCAGGCATAAAAAGAATAAAGTACAGGCTCATGCTCCAGAAGATGCACCTTGACAACACACTAAGTCAAATAAGCCAGTCATAAGAGGTGACAAACTGTAGAGTTCAGCTTATTCTATGATATAGAAATCCAGAGACAACAAGCAGATTCTGTGGCCCAGGCCTTGGGCAAAGAGATAAGATAGTAGGAATGGGCTTATTAATGGGCATAAGGTTTCTTTTGGAGGTAGTAAAAAAATCCAAAATTAGGTATTAGTGATGGTTGCACAGCTCTGAAAATAGTAGAAACTATTAAATTCCATATTTTAAATTTTTTGTGAACTGCAAAGATGAACTCAGTTGATAAGGTGGTTGCCTTGCAAACAGAGGGCCTGAGCTCAATGCCCAGAACCCATGTAAATGAAGAAGCCAGGCATGTGGTGTTAAATCCAGTGCTGGGAAGGTAGAGACAGATAAAGTCCTATGACTTGCTAGATGGTCAGCTTCGCCCTGCACGTTTGGCCAGTGACAGACCATCTCAAAGAGAACAAAGTGGACAACACCTGAGTATGACACCCAAGGTTATTCTGAGTGCCATTTACATTCACAAGCATGAATACATATATATTCACACTATTTTCACAGCAAACACACCTACATGTAGGTAGGCAACTTGATCCTATAGAAATTAAGCAATCAGGAAACACATATGACCTAGTAAACTTCTTAGCATGTAAAATGCAATAATACATAACCATAATAACAGTCCAAGTCACCATGGTTTCCAAGGCCTTACAAGATTACTGTTCTTTCTTGTCCACAGCCTCACCTCACAACATGTGCTACCATGATGCTGGGCTCCTCTCCTCTGAAGGCTCCCTTCCCACAGAGATTCCACACAACATTTGTCACTGCCCACTGTGCTCCCTCCTGGTCAGTGCAGCCCAGCTTGAGCATTTCTTCCATTTCCCTAAACTTCTAGGATAACTTAAGAGTTCCCTGTACTAATCCCCTTTGTGTCTCCTTGGCAACACATATGCCAGCTGAATAGTGACTGTACCCAATTGCATGTTTAACATCTATCCTCATAGAATAAGATTCATAAAGACTGGGAGAATTGCTGACTTCAAAGGAAGACAGAGACAAATGATTTATTTGCCTCTGGCTCTCAAAACAATTACTTCTGGGACTCATAGGAAGTCTAAATAGGTAGAATCTGGGATCTTTAACAAACTCATAGAGAAAACAAGGATAACCACAGAGACATCCTGTTACTAAGTTGTCAGTTGCTCAAAATCCAGAGTTTCTACAAGACTTTACTTAACCCTATATTTGCAAACAGTTAAGAGTTATCTACCTACCTAGCACAAAACTGCATTATCACACACAAATCTGGAAGATAGACTGTAAGCACCCACAGGTGCCAAACACCTGGCAAATCTTTACATTGCAATTACACCATATAACTTTTCATTTTGTTTTTTGAATGGTGTCTTACCCTGTAGTGACCTTTTTTGTTTTAACAAATAAAGCTTGCCTGAAGATCAGACTGCAGAGATAAGTCACTAGAGGCCAGGGAGTGGCTGCACACACCTTTAATCCCAGGAGACAAAGGGATCTCTTAGTTCAAAGTTATACTTGGCTACACTGACCCAGTTTAAAAGAGAAACAGAGGTAACACAAAGGTGACCCCAGCACTTGGGACCCCACACCTTTAATCTCAGCACTAGGGAGGTGGAGACAGGAGTGATTTGGCTGGGCGGAGAGAGGACAGGAGTTCAGTGCAGTCCGAGGCAACAGTCTGAGGATGCAGACTGAGGATAGGGTCGCCCTTTTAGTCTGAGAATTCGGTAGAGGTAAAAGGTCTCTCTAGTGACTGGCTGCACTGCTTCTCTGATCTCCCTAATATCTGACTCCAGGTTTTATTAAGAACAATTAGAGCTGGGCAGTGGTGGCACACACCTTTAATCCCAGCACTCGGGAGGCGGATCTCTGTGAGTTCGAGGCCAGACTGGTCTACAAGAGCTAGTTCCAGGACAGGCACCAAAAACTTCAGAGAAAACCCTGTCTCGAAAAAAACAAACAAACAAACAAAACAAAGAGCAATTAGAATTTGTGTACCATACCCTGTAGCACAGATTGGTCCAGAGCTCACTATGTAGCTCAGACTAGAG